TTAGACAAGGAAACTTAAGGAAGAAGGAGAAGAAAGAGAATGTGGGTGACTCTGCCATGAGCTTTTGATGATTCTTGATAATGAATTGGAGAAGCCTGGAAAGAGCTAAAGGAACATAGAATTGAACGTAATTTTTATTTGACTGTGGATTACAGTTAGACATATATTCCACTTGAATTTGCCCCTAGTTCCAGTACTTTCTTAGCTATTGTGAATTATGTGGATGGGCTACTGGGTTCCAATGGGTCATCATGTATAATTTGTAAACTGCTGTTATACTTAGAGAGAATGAACTCATTGAACAGATATTCATGGAGTGCAGGCATGGGAATTGTAGGATGAATAAGATAGATGAGGTATTTGTTTTCATAGAATTTACAGTCTCATAGGGGTATACAGACAATAAACAAATAAGCAAAGAAGATAGGTTCAGACAGTAATAAGTGCTATGAAGAAAATGGAACAGGGTCTTGGGATAGAGAGAGATTGAGTGAGCCACTTTAATAGGAGGGTCAGAGAAGGACAGGTGACTTTATTTTTATTTTTTGTATTTATTTATTTTTTTGAGATGGAGTCTTGCTCTGTCAGTGCCCAGGCTGGAGTGTAGTGGCACAATCTTGGCTCACAGAAACCTCCGCCTCCTGGGTTCAAGTGATTATCCTGCCTCAGTCTCCTAAGTAGCTGGGATTACAGGTGCCCGCCACTATGCCCGGCTAATTTTTTGTATTTTTTTAGTAGAGATGGGTTTTCACCACATTGGCCAGGCTGGTCTCAAACTCCCAACCTCAGGTGATCCACCCGCCTCAGCTTCCCAAGGTGCTGGGATTACAGGCATGAGCCACCGCGCCCGGCCACAAGGACACGTGACTTTTGAACTGAAACCTAAATAATAGGAAAGAACCAGCCACATGGAGATGTGGGCCATTCCAGGCAGAGAGAAAAATCCCAAGAGCAAGAGCCTTGACATGGGAACAACATTAGCAGTATGACAGCAGCACAGTGAACAGAGTTGGGGCCACATCACGCAGGGCCTCATAGGCCATAGTAAGAATTGTATTCTAAGTATAACATGAGGCTATTGGAGCATTTTGAGCAAAGGAACAATTATTATCAACTTTTTTTCTTGAAATCACACTGAGATTCCTTTTTTTGAGGAAATAGAGTCAATGAGGGAAAAAGTCGAAGCAGAGAGGGAGACCAGTTAGGAAGTTATTACACCAATCTAAGGAGATGGTGGTAGCTTGCCTTCGGGTGGTAGCAGTGAAGACAGCTGAAGTGATGGAATTTGGGACTGATAGGATCAATTGACTTGCAGATGGTTGAATAAAAGGATTAAGGGAAGAAACAATGGAGGAGACACTGGGTTTTATCTGAATAATTGGGATGGTAATAGGATCATGAGTCAAGATGGGGAAAACTGGAGAACAGCGCGTTTGTAGAGTAGAGGTTGAGGGGTTGGGAACAGCAGAATTGAGAGTTCTATTTTAGATTTATTATGTTGGATAGACCAATCTGACATCCGGGCAAGTAATTGTATGAAAGAGTTTGGAATCTGAGGGAGAGAGACAGCCAGAGAGATAAAGTTGAGAGTTACTAACTTTATATAAATAATATTTAAGGTCGCCGGGCGCGGTGGCTCACACCTGTAATCCCAGCACTTTGGGAGGCCGAGGCGGGCGGATCACAAGGTCAGGAGATCGAGACCACGGTGAAACCCCGTTTCTACTAAAAATACAAAAAATTAGCCCGGCGCGGTGGCGGGCGCCTGTAGTCCCAGCTACTCAGGAGGCTGAGGCAGGAGAATGGTGTGAACCCGGGAGGCGGAGCTTGCAGTGAGCCGAGATTGCGCCACTGCACTCCAGCCTGGGCGACAGAGCGAGACTCTGTCTCAAAAAAAAAAAAATAAATAAATAAAATAATATTTAAGGTCAAAGGACTGGAATCCCTCATACTAGGAAAGAATGTAGATAGAAACATGAAGACCAAGCCCTGGGACACATCAACCTCGCGAGGAGGTGGATCCAGCAAAGGCTACTTAAAAGAAACAGTGAGTTGGGGACAAGGAGAAAAACTCAGTAGGGTGTGGTGGTGTGCAAGTCAAGAAAAGGAAGTGTTGAAGGGGGCAATAGTGAGCTGTGATAGATGCTGCTGAGGGGTCCATGACATCAACACAAATCATTGGCTTGGCAAGAGGTGACTTTGATAGAGCTGTTACTGGGGATGGAGGGGAAAGAAGGCTGAACTGCAGTGGGTTGAAGGGAGAATGGGAAATAACAAAATGGAGATAAGTACAGACGATTTATGTTTGGAGTTTCTATCACCATTTTAGCTAGTGATATAGTAATGAGGCAGGACTACAAGCAGTATTGCTAGAAGAACGCCCAAGTATTAGGCTTTAAAAAGGTGAATTAAAACTAATACATATTCCTAGGAAATTGGATCTGCTGTGTCTACTTGGGGGGGATTAAGTTTTCATGGAGACACCTTGGTGAGTATCCATGCTGCCCTTACCACTCTGGAATACTAATTTCTTGGATCTTTTTCCTGCAGCTCTACCCCTCAAATAGAACAAAAAGCAGTAATAAGAAAAATCCAGCATTTATAGAGCACATAGTGTGCAGTTTAAAGGTGTTTTTGCTCATTTTATCCTCACAATTCCTCAGGAGGTAGGAGCTGTTATAATCTGTTTTTGATAAGGTTCACATGACTATTCTAAACTCCAGGTGATCAATTGATAATTGAAATCTTGCAGCCGGGCGCAGTGGCTCATGCCTGTAATCACAGCACTTTGGAAGGCTGAGGCAGGGGGATCACTTGAGGCCAGGAGTTTGAGACCACCCTGGCCAACATGGTGAGTCTCTATGTGGTGGCACACATCTGTAGTCCCAGCTACTCAGGAGGCTGAGGCGTGAGAATTGCTTGAATCTGGGAAGTGGAGGCTGCAGTGAAACGCCACTGCATTCCAACCTGGGGGACAGAGTAAGACTCAGTCTCAAAAAAAAAAAAAAAGAAAGAAAAGAAAAAGAAATCTTGCAACACACCTTCTTCTACTTGAGTTGGGTAGTGCCTTTGTTTCAGCAAAAAAATCTTCATTTTCTCTCTCTCCTTCTCACCAAATACCAAATAGAATGTTTAAATAATAGCATTGGGATTGGAACCCAGGCAGTCTGGGAGTTCCAGGCCCCCTAGTCTCAACCAACATGCTATCCTTTAATACCAGGCAAATGGAAGGGAGACTCCGGAAAGGAAAAGCAGATGACATTTTATCAAATCAGTATTGGTACAAAATGACATAGATGTTATAATGCATTGAGCTAGAATGGGAAATTTTATCCTGGAGACCCCTTCTTAATGGTGTTTTAAAATCTGTGCACCAGTAGAGCCCATACTAATGGAATGCTAGTCCTCAGCATTCTCCCCTAACACCCATTCTCACTCTGCTAATAAACTGTCCCTCAAAATCAAAATGAGAGTGTCACATATATAGTTTCCTTTTGGAAAGCATTTTGATATTTTTCTACCTGACAGCTAGGAAAACAGATAATTGATCAACTTGTTGCCTTTATTATTTTTAAGACTGCCTCTTATTTTGTGTGTAGAATTAGGGGCATTTCCTGAGGAGCAATAAGCCCTCAGGAGGAGACCTTATCCACCAAGGTATAGAAAGGCCTAGCAGACATTGGTGGCCAGGAAGTGCCTTAGACTGGAATTATTTTTGTTGTTCTAATCTGAAAATGACAACATAGAACACAGCCAACAGCATGCAGCATTTTATTATGGTGATGCAGCTTTAATTGGTATGTAGAGGGCATGCCTGTGAAATTAGTCCTTAGTGTATTGGCCAATCAGATCACTTTCAACATTTCTCAATGTTTAGTTTCATCTTATAATTAAGTAATAATGATCATTTCCTGGCAGCTAATGACTAGCTAGAGGAGTCAGAAGCCTCATTAGGTTTATAATTTATCAAACTCTAAGCTTTTCATCAGTAGTGTTGCAAAAAGAGAAAGCATCTTCAAATTCTAAAATGATTCAAAACAACCTCTAACTATATTTCATATATGTATTCACTTGTTCTTTGAAGGCTGACTTTATTTTTAAACTTTTAAAAATAACTGTATTTTATTATATAAGCAGGAAAAAATGTTTGTGTGACTTAGAGAGAGAAGGAAAGAGATGTATTGAACTGTGTTAGCACATACACACACACTCTAAAAGCAGAATTGATAGACCGTGTTTCCTTTAAGAATCTTTTTGTGACAATTCCACACCCTTTCCTGAGGCAGGCTTGACTATCCATTAATTCCAGCAATAGCATCATTGTATTTACTCCACAAATATTTATTGAGCACCTACTATGTGTTGGGGATTATGCTGAGGATACTGCAGGGGCCAGAGGAGAGTGGGGGGAGATGGGAACAAAACCTCCTGTCTTTATTAAGCTGATATTATCATATTGAAGTTTCTGTCTTCAAAATTACCCTGGAAGACTGCAATTAGATGTGTTCAAAGAGGGCAAACTAAAGGTAGACGAGGACCCTCACTGAACCATGTGGACACCTTGCCTCTGACTGTCTCCTTATCCATATGGCCATTACATAGTAGCTCCAGCTTCTGCTAACTCAAGGGTCACTCACTGATCAACCATATTTGGGGGATTACAATCTTCCTTTTGGTGAGAGAGAGTGTAAATCTCTTCTCCTAGTTTGAGACCTGCTCTCCTCTTCGTTTTGGGACCTGACATGAGCTAGTCATGAAAGAAAAAAACCAGAACCAAAAAACAGTGGCTTCTAATTCCAACTCGTTTCCCCTTGAGTTCCTAATGGTTGGGGCATTTATTAAATAAGTACAGCCTGATGGAGGGACAGCCAGACCTACCATTCAGGTTGTGGAATTCTAGAAATGTGAAACTCAGGGACTCTTCCAAAGGAATTCTGTCCTGCCTAAGTCAGGTCTGAAAGGCCTCTGGAGAAATGGAACACCAGCCTATGTGTACTCACTCTTGGTCTTTCATTGGAGTCGCTCCTGGGAATCCCTCAGAGATATTTTCTGTCCACACACTCAGGAGTTCCTTGAAGCAGAGTAATCTTAGGTGCTCAGAGAAACTCCGTGGTTCCTTCACCATAGGAGCAACTCAAGATGTGAAGTCCTCTGGATCAGCAGGGATGGCAAAAGCATGCAGCAGAACTCCAGGGAAACTGCTGGCATTTGGTTTGTGCTGTCAGATCAATCCTAGGATTTCAACATCAGAAATACCCATTATTGTCCTGTGTGAAATCTGTGGGCATTAGCCCTGGTGCCTCATGTAAAAGTTAGCCTTCTGGTATCCAAACCAATTCTCTTTGTGCTAGATTCTTCATAACCAAGAATTAGGACTTCCCAGCTCTCATGTTACCAAGTCCAGTTCTCCATGGTTCCTGGGAATGCTTCTCCATGTCTGAGTACCTTGCCCTGGGCATGTTTCATAAATGGGTAAAATGTGTGATTGATCTCGCTTTTATTTTATTGAAAGCTTGTTTTCTTCTGTAGCAATTCTGAAATTTCAAGATGTTCTTCATTAATTTGTTTTAATTGCCATGTGACAAATATTTCAAGAAACATCAGCTATTTTAAAATTTTTGACAGATCTCATGATGGAAAGACATACACAGAGCCCTACTTGTTTAATAAATACTCCAACCATTAGGAACTCTAAGGGAAAGAAGTTGGTAATTACTTAATGAAACTTCTATGTAGTCACTTTCACATAAAGTATAGCCAAGGACTCAGAAGCAGCCTTTTACTGCAGCCCTGAAATTACTGCTATTAGTCATTTAAAATCACTTTTCCTAATGTGCCTAGCAGTCTCATTTGCCTATACCACAGGTCCTCAAATAACATTGTTTCGTTCAACACTGTTTCACTATAAATTGATGAGGAAAAAAAAATGGGTTTCCAGCTGGGGTCACTATCTGTGTAGAATTTGCACTTTCTTCCCATGTCCGTGTGGGTTTTCCCCAGGGACTCTGTTTTCCTCCCACATCCCAGGGATATGCATGTTAGATGAGTTGACATGTCTACACAGTCCCAGTCTGAATGAGTGCGGGTTTGTGTGTGAGTGCGCCCTGTAATGGGATGACATCCTGGCTAGGATTGGTAACCACCTTTCACCCTGAGCTGCTGGGATAGGCCATGGCCAACCAAAGCCCTGAACTGGAAGAAGTGGGTAAATAATTATTTTACTTGTTTTTATTAATCTTTCTTAAATGCATACATAGTTCACATTTTTTTCAATGATTAATATTAGAAGTTCTTTGATCTTTATTTAGAAGTTTGGTGATGTTTTTGTGGCCAGGAATACACCATAGGAATTTAACTCTTGTTTCTATCAATTAGCCTATGGTAGAATTGGTTTAACTAGAACTCATTTTGCTTAAGGTCGTAGTTTTTAAGAACCTATTAACGACATTAACTGAGGACTTACTGTAATTGTCCAAGAATTATAGCCTTTGAATTCATTCCTGGATGAGAGAAAAGATATTTCTATGATATATACTCCTATTTAAGAAACCAGGGGTTTTCCAAAGAAAGAAAATATCACAGTGCTTCTCTGTATGAGCACACTGTATTAAGAAAAGATGGACCCACAGAGGTTGAACCAAAACTCTTGCAGATGCAGTAGGCACAGCCTCTCTGTTTGCTCATTGTTTTTCTAGGTCTAATGAAAACATAAAGACTGAGGGCTTGGCCCCACCCTAGTAATATGATCAAGAACGGAACTGTGGTAGTAAAAATGAGAACATCAGAAGAATCATTATATTCAGGGGAAAGAAAGGCCTCAAAAGGGAATATTACTCTGAATAATTCATGCTCCTTTTCTCTTTTTTCCTGTGTGAAATTCAATGTTTCCTTTATAATTTTTTTAGAAGAAGGCTGTGTTCAGGATCTTTAGAAGCTGGTGGTAACTTCTCAATCACTGGCTCCATCAGGCAATGAGAGACTTGCTAAAGGAGAAACAAACTGTGAAGGTAAAAAATTCTCCCCAGAATGGCAACTCTGTGTGCTTCAAGGATGAATCCAAGTTGTGGAAGTTGTGGGAATGTGTTCAGTCGAAACTTTTCAATTGCTTGCACTGGGGAAACCACCCTCATCACTAGGCCTGGGGATTATGAAACAAAACCAAGGACTCCAGCCTCTGAGTCAGGGGGAGTGCCTTGGAAGTGAGGATGCAGGGAACTGGGCTCAGTGCCTCTCCTAAAATACCTTTCCCCTCCTGGAGGTCAGGTCTGGCAGGATTTAATGACTCAATTTGTGCCCTGAGTGGCATCTTGGTAGCTCAGGGGAAGTAGCCAACACCACCCAACACAAACTGGGATTGGAGGTTGGGCGGGGTGACTATGAGCTGGACACCTAAGAGGTTATCTTCTTGGAGAGGTCAAAGAAAGCTTTTGCCAAGCCTGTTAGATGAGTCAACAGATAGAGACTTCCATCTCTGCTTTCGTTCATCCTAATTTTTTAATAGCACCAAATATATAGAAAATCCAGAGATGAATTATCTGATGTTGTACATTTATAACAGATGTTAGACGGTTGGTTGATTAGTGTTATTTCCAATGCATGGGTTGCCTCTGACATAAGTGTTGAATTAAACAAATAAAAAATATTTTTATATATACCTAATATGTACCTCAAAAATTTAAAAATAAAAGTAAAAATAAAAAATAAAATATTTTTAATAAGCAGCATAGCAAGACCCCATTTCAACAAAAAAATTAAAAAATCAACCAGATGTCGTGGTACACATCTGTAGTTCCAGCTACTCAGGAGGCTGAGGCAGGAGGATCGCTTGAGCCTAGGAGTTCAAGGCTGCAGTGAGCTATGATCATGCCACTGCACTACAGCCTGAGTGACAGAGTGAGATCTCATGTCTTTAAACAAAAAAAATTTTTTTTAGTCAAAATATTCTTTCAAAAGGGTATTTTTAAAGGTTAATTTTCTGACATACAAAGCGAGCAGACCAAATGGGTTCAAAACTTTAAATAGCATAATTTATCCAGGAAGACCTTTCCTTTTTATTTTTTCCTGGGCCTTTATCTGCGAAGCTCTAAAATAGCCTTCAGGAATAAGGCAAGGTAGCTAATATTTTTAAAGCGAATTCAAGAGCAAGACAGAAATGAAATGATCCCTTCTTATCTTCTCCTTCCTCTGATACCTCTGCAGTCTGACCCCAGGAAATGAGTGCTATGCAGATCAGATCAAGAGAGATGATTTGTTTACTACTTCAGAAGAAACTTTTGCTAACCCTAAACATGACCTAACCTCTTGGGAAGGGAGGGGCATTCAGTCTTGAATGACACAGACCAACCAAGGACTCCTACGGATCTGTAAGCCCTTACCCGTGTGGGTACTGTCGTGAGCTTTGGGGAGAGAGAGAATCACTATCCCCCCAGACATCATAAGACAGTCCCCTTGAGGCAGCCACAAGTCAACTGCTCACATCTTTGGCTAGTGCCCCTCAGCAGACTAGCTCTAGTTATAAGGAGATGTTCTAAATAACCCCAATGGAACAATCCACAGCCACTTACTGAGTACCTAATAAACCCATGTATAACTCCCTGCTACCTACTTTTGAGGTAGATAGCCTCTGAAGAGCCTCTGGATTCACAAAACCCACCCTGAAATGAATATTTCTCCAAAAAGTGCTTGAGGTTTCTTCCACATCCCCACATCCCAGCTCCCTTCCCTTTCATGCCCATAGCAAGGTCTATCATTGCAAATTGGCGGTGAGGCAAATTGGCTGGGAGGTGCACCTACATGGGGGAGTTCTATTGTTTTTATAACCATTGCCAGCTCTGAGTGCGTGATGAGTAAGAGCCTCTTCCTCTTCCCTCTGGGCTGCCCTCCTCTCCCATGCCAATCTCATTGTTGGCCTGTTGCGGATATGGTGGTAAGCAAGGGCGGCTGCCTGGCTCTGATGCTTCCCAGACTTGGGACCCAAAACTCAAGAAGGCAACGAAACATGTAAGTGAGGGCTTCATGGGCCTGTGTTTCCTATTAGCCAGTATTCCTGCGTGAAGCTTTCTGGGGAGAAGGAGCAAATGAGAAGACACCACTACAGCATTACTCTTCCTTCCCCCGTTAAGTAAATGGCAAGTTCTTACTTGGCACACAAGAGTAAAATGGATGATGACTGCCTCTTCCAGTCACCTTTGGGCTGATTTTAGGTTAGACGACCTTTTCCCTAAAGGAATCTTATTTCTGCAAACTTCTTTTTTTAAAACTCGAAATAATGTCTGCTTGTTCACTCTTAAATTAGAAAGTTATAATACAAGAGTAATTATGGTTACTCTTGTAACCATAATTTTGCTTATACATTGGTTTTGCTATTTTCCTTTCTGAATGGTGTTTGTTTTAGATTTTAGCTCCTCTCTTGTGTTATGTTGCTAACATTTTTGTCAGCTGCCAGATTATTACAAGCAGATAAAGGGGGAGTTTTCTTCTAGAGAGACCCCCATAGTTCACACTCAAAGAATTTGTTTTGTATACCCTGTGGGGGCGGGTGGGAGGGCAATAATTCATTGGTGTCTTTGTGTGTGTGTCTATGTGTGTTGTCAGCTGTAATCTGCAAAGATTTCTGCATCTTTAAGCATAAAGATCGCTTTCTCATTTTGTAACATGATTTCTTTTCAAACTTGTCATGTAATTGAATCCAGCTTTGAGTGACACTTTAAAAAATGCTCTCCTGCATCAGAAGTGCTTCTTTAAACCAGGTGCTCTTCACGCTCACCTGCTGGCGTGTTTGATTAGCAGCCAGCCACAACCGGGTGCCAAATCCATTCTAAATATGGGAGCCTGTGCTTGAGAAGACTAGTCATACTAATTATTCAGACCTCCTCCTTGGAAGTAACGTGCCAAAATCACAGAAGCAGAAAAGCCAGAAACAGTATGAGGCTTGGTATTGAGGGACCATAAAATCAGAATTTTGCCTCATAATATTGTTTTGTTCTTGGGTACGTCCTTTCCAGTTATGAGCTCACCAGCCCTTGCTCTGTCTCTGAGCTGGTTGGCATCATTGCCGTTCTACAGATGGAGAATGGGAGACGCAGCTGTGCAAACCAAAATGCCCAAAAGCCGGATGATCTCGCTGACACTGGGAGCCAGCACCCCTGGTGTCTCTCTAACTCCTTGCTGCCTGTGAATCTGCAGCTTAAAAGAGGAGAGCTGGAGGCTAAGTCGGAACCACCTAGAGTTGCCTGCAAGCAATCTGTATTTGAATTGCCTCTCAGAGGCCAGGCGAAACCAAGAAGTGGGTCAAACTAAAGGGGCTGCATGCGTACCTAAATGGGAAGAAGGTTAAAAGTGAGGAAATGGGGAATCGAAGTCCAAGAACGTAGGGAATATGCTGGAATATCCTTTTTATGCAGGCCATCCCTCTTTTAACTATGGGCTGAAATATACAGGATAGTATCTGTTGTACAGAAAGTACAATGTCCCACTGGTAGAAAATATTTAAAGTAAAGCCAATGTATTAATTTAAATCATTAATGCAGGAAATATTTATTGAGGCTCTCCCATGAGCCAAGTCCCATAATATT